TATAATGGGAAGATTTAGAAATGAGAAGATTTTTTTGTTACGGATGAAAAAGGAAAGTGGGAAGATTTTAAAGTTACGGAGGGAGTACTACGTATAGTCGATCTTATTATTCCCTGAAATTTAAAAAATGAAGAAATTCAAAAAAAAAATCCTTATTTTTAGCCGTGAGTGTTTATAAAAATAATACGTAGTATATACTAGCAATAATATTTACAAGAATAGATTTATGTGTGAATCAATCAATACTCTCAACTCTTATGGCGAAATAGCGTTGGGCTTAAACGAGTTTTAGTTTGAGTTCACCCCAAGAAGAAGAGCAGAAAAGAAAAAAGTGAGAGTAAGGATTGAAGTATTATTACTGTATAATGAGTGTTATAGGCCATGAAGTATCTTATACATTTCGCCAAATAAAATTTAGGCCATTTCTATTTATATATGTTTTGGGAGATAATTTGTCACGCCCCGGACCTCCCCGGACACGTCAACAACCCGCCGTACAATACGAATAGTCGACCGCAGTCCAACACATTCATATTATACAAGGCGTCATGAATATCATTCACACATAAGTCATCCATAAACAACATAATAAGTAATTCATAAAGCAGCGGAAAACATTGTTTAAAACAAAAGGGCCACACAGGGCTATTCATGAGCACGCAGGCTCTATAATAAAATATCCATGAGCATGTTTATTAATGTTTAAAATCCGAATGGAGGAAGCACGAACCAAGTCTTCGCTCCTAGATGATCTCTCGAGCAACGAGCACAGGAAGCAAGCTCTAGCCTCAACCTGAAAAATGGTGGTGGGACGCCCCCGAAGGGGTCAGCACTCTATAGGGCTATAAAGTGCTGGTGTGGCAGGCATCTAATAGATATACAACAAGTATTTCAAACACAAGACCCTCAAATAGGGTGATAGTATATTATGATTGTAACCCTAAGTTACCCCGTTTAAAAATATACTTACTTTATATAAAAGTCAAGTAGCCGGCCCGTGGGCCCATGTTCATTTGGAAATCACCATTCCCAACCCCGTGACTAAAAGCCACGACAACTCCTAGAGTCCAACCCTAGTACATGACATTGTATTCTAGAGCTCGGCTCTACTACATCACCATACAATTCATATACCTCGGGTCAATTTCCTTACCTTGCGTTCTAGAGCTCGGCTCTATTACATCACCACGCAAGTCCTAGAGCTCGGCTCTAGCTATACAATACATAGACTCCAAGTCTACACCTTACATGCATTCTAGAGCTCGGCTCTATTACATCACCATGCATTAAGGTCCAATTCTCAAGCAACCCTATGCCTAGAATTGACATATCATTAAACTACTTTGGGTCATCCTTAAAGACTTCCCATAACTTAACCTTAGTTCCAAACTAAGTTATTATATACACTTGAACTATATTCAAGTACCTTTCATACAATCCAATCCCTAGGATCAATTTAATCAACAAGTTCCAATAATCACTAACTAGTATTTCAATACTATTAAGATTATTGTTATCATACCATTATCCTCATTATTTGTAATTCTCTACATATTTATAATTATGTAGCAGCAACTTAAGTATTCAATCTCAATACACAAATATTCATTTATGTATCCACATAATTCATACATGAGCAAAATGCCCATTTTCACAAAATAGTTCATTTATACTCATTTAATCTCATATTATTCATACCTTCTCAAATCATTTCAAATTTCATTCCTTGGCAACTATATCAATATTTCATCAATATATAATCATCATAATCCATGAAAAATCATGATTTAAGCATTTAGGTAATCTCATGCTTAACCTACAAGTTGTAAGCAATTAGATGTCAATCCTCACCTCAATTGAGCTTTAAACTTTCCCTTCTTGGTCCAATGGTCAAAGCTTTGGTCAAGGTGGATTTGGAACTGATTCCTTGCTCAAATATGAGTGTTAAACAGCCTCCTCAAAGTGCTAGTTCAACCCTTAATCGTTGATACGAAAACAGCCCCTAGAACGGGTGTTTTCCGGCTAACTCGATTCCTAGTTTTCCAATATTTGCATCTAGGTTAGTATCTAACCTTTACATCAATAAAATAACTTTATAAGGACATATTATACACTTGGATTAGTGTATAATAGTCTCACCAATCGTTCATATCATTTGGAGAATGAAAAGTAAAGCTTTGGGGTTTAAAACTCACTTTAGAGGATTAAATCCTCTCCTGCGAGGTTGCGTTTTTCTCGGACGATTTGGAAGCCTTCCACAACTCCGATTCCTGCAAACCAGACCTTCACGGATTCCTCGTCTTGAGAGCTTTCTGTGGGTATCTCACACGCCTTAATTGGATTTGTAAAACTCGAGATATCGACCAAACAGTCTCAGCACTCTCACAGCTCGAGTTCACAGACCTCTGCTCGTTCCAGCTCGATTTTTGTAAGATAAGCCTTCTCTCCTCGAACAAAGACCACTCAATTGAGATAATAGACTTCCAAGGCTATCCAAGGACATATTATTCACGTTGTTTGGTCGAGTATAGCTTCTATAATGAGAGGAGACAAACAGCACACCAATTTGTGCGAAAATAAGGATGGTGGCCCAAGTTTACATTCCTATCAAGTCATGTGCAGCTCCCCTCCATTATGGACGGCCAAGGTAGGTCTTCTAACCCATTTTTATTTGTTTTGCAGGTACTAATATCATGTGGAGTGGTTCCCAATTGATCCCATTAAATTTGGGGTCCAAAATATCTACCAATACTTCCAAAAATGGGAAGATGGGTCCTATTGTTTTATCTTTGTCAAAGATGTCTTCTTGTACTCATCCTAATTTATTTAGAACAAGTCAACTTCCTAAATCACATTATTGATCTCCAATATGTGTAGGCTCATCCCAATAATTTACTTGATGGATATTTTAGAAGGAAAATCCTACTCCCATTATTTAGCTCAATAATGCCAAAGATGGGGTTATAGACATTTGTATTCTCCTTTAATCATTCTTTCACTATTTTGGTAATGTTGGGCTTTTTTATTTATTAATAAGTCCCGAGTAAGTATTTGCGAAACCCGACACGAATGTACGAGTTTGAACAGTACGATATTCAACCATGCACTACGTAGAACATTGATCGTTTTACGAAATGTTTGGGAATCGGAAATCCAATACATAAGCTATGAATATTCAAATCAAATTTCCAAGGACATTCGGGTGCGGTGTCACAAGTTCACCCCCCCTTAACAGGAATTTCGTCCCCGAAATTCACAGCTCTACTCGAATAGGAAAGCATACTGCTTCCTCATCAAAGCCTCTGTTTCCCATGTCTCTTCTTCGACCCGATCGCTCTTCCACAAGACTTTAACCATTGGGACTTCCTTGCTCCTCAGTTTCTTCACCTTTCTATCGGTGACCTTGATAGGTTGAACAGAGTAGTTCAAATCCTCACGTACCTCTACAGGTGGCTTCTCCAATACGTGAGAGGGATCATGCACATACTTCTTAAGCATGGATACATGAAACACATTATGTATCTTCTCTAACTCAGGAGTCAATTGTAGACGGTATGCAACGGCCCCAATCCTCTCTATAATTCTGAATGGACCTATATATCGTGGGTTAAGTTTTCCTCGGGTTTGGAACCGAATGATCCCTTTCCAAGGAGAAACTTTCAAGAATACCTCGTCATCAACCTTAAACTCTAAGGTTCTTCGATGCTTATCTGCATAACTCTTTTGTCTATCCTGAGCCGCCTTGAGTCTCTCTCGAATTAGCTTCACCTTTGATTTGGTGACCTCCACCAACTCAGTACCCTCGAGTTTGGCCATGCCAACCTCGTCCCAGCATAACGGTGTACGGCACCTCCTCCCATACAATGCCTCGTATGGAGGCATGCCGATGCTTGCCTGATAACTGTTGTTATAGGCAAACTCCACAAGTGTTAAGTGGTTGTCCCAACTCCCCTGGAACTCCAATGCACAAGCCCTCAGCATGTCTTCTAGGATCTGTATAACCCTTTCAGACTGCCCATCCGTCTGTGGATGGAAAGCAGTGCTGAACTTCAACTTCGTTCCCATAGACTCCTGGAATTTCGGCCAAAAACGTGATGTGAATCGTGGGTCTCTATCAGATACAATGGTCACCGGGACCCCATGCAGCCTCACGATCTCATCCGTATACAATTTGGCTAACCTCTCAAGTGGGTAGGTAGTGTTGATAGGCAAGAAGTGTGCACTCTTTGTGAGCCTATCCACAACGACCCAAACCGCGTCATAGTTCCTGATAGTCCGTGGTAAGCCTACCACGAAATCCATAGTCACGTGCTCCCACTTCCATTCAGGGATGGAGAGTGGTTGCAATAAGCCTGCTGGGTGCTGATGTTCTGCCTTAACTTGTTGACAAGTAAGGCACCGACTGATGTACTCGGCTATTTCCCTCTTCATTCCAGACCACCAGTAACTTTCCTTCAAATCACGGTACATTTTCGTGCCCCCCGGGTGCATGGCATAAGCCGATGAATGAGCCTCCTCTAAGATGGACTTTCGGAGCTCATCATCTGACGGTACACACACTCGGTCACGAAATAACAAGAGACCATCATCTCTTTCCCTGAAATCCTCCACCGGCCCCGCTTGCATGCGTTCCCGGACCTTCATAAGTTCTTCGTCGGCTTCCTGACCCTTCTTGATCTCATCAAGTAAAGTGGGTCTCACCTCAAATCGTGCCAATAAGGCACCATCGCTGGTTACCTCCAGTTGGGCTCTTAATGCCCTCAAATTAGTTATCAATGCCCCAGACGAGCTCTTCCGGCTCAAAGCATCTGCCACCACGTTTGCCTTGCCTGGGTGATACTCTATCACTAGATGGTAGTCTTTTATCAGCTCCATCCACCGTCTCTGTCTCATGTTTAGCTCTTTCTGAGTAAACACGTACTTCAAGCTCTTGTGATCAGTGTATATGTGACATGTCTCCCCGTAGAGATAATGTCTCCATATCTTCAGTGCAAATACCACTGCCCCGAGCTCCAAATCATGAGTAGGATAATTCACCTCATGCTTCTTCAATTGTCGTGAAGCATAGGCGATTACCCTCCCATTCTGCATCAGTACACATCCGAGCCCTTGGATGCTCGCATCGCTATAGACATCGTACCCCACACCTTGTTTGGGTAATGCAAGTACCGGTGCCTCAGTCAATCTCTTCTTTAGTTCCATGAACCCCTTCTCACATTTGTCATCCCATACAAACTTAGCTCCTTTACGAGTGAGCTTCGTCAATGGCGATGCCAAAACAGAGAACTTCTCCACGAACTTTCTATAGTAGCCTGCCAATCCAAGGAAACTACGAATTTCCTTGACGTTCTTTGGCCTCTCCCATTCAGTAATGGCTTCTATCTTCTTGTTATCAACAGCAATCCCCGATCCCGAAACCACGTGCCCGAGGAAGCCAATCTCCTTTAGCCAAAATTCACATTTAGAAAATTTGGCATAGAGTTGCTTCTCCCGTAGTGTTTCAAGAACAAGTATCAAGTGCTCCTCATGCTCTTCTTCACTCTTTGAGTAAATCAAGATGTCATCTATGAACACAATCACGAATCGATCCAAGTATTTATGGAATACTCGGTTCATCAAGTCCATGAATGCCGCCGGGGCGTTTGTTAACCCAAACGACATAACAAGGAACTCAAAATGCCCATACCTTGTGCGGAAAGCACTCTTTGGTATGTCATCTTCCTTAATCTTCAATTGATGGTACCCCGACCTCAAGTCAATCTTCGAAAACACGGTTGCTCCTCGTAGTTGATCAAACAAGTCATCAATCCTAGGCAACGGATACCTATTCTTGATTGTGACCTTGTTCAGTTGACGATAGTCAATGCACATTCGAAGTGTCCCATCTTTCTTTTTCACAAAAAGAACCGGTGCTCCCCACGGGGAGTGGCTTGGTCTAATGAAACCGTTATCCAAAAGCTCTTGCAATTGGGTTTTCAACTCGTTAAGTTCGGCGGGTGCCATCCGGTATGGCGGTATGGAGATTGGTTTGGTACCAGGCTCGACCTCGATCACAAATTCAATCTCTCTGTCAGGTGGAAGCCCCGGTAGGTCTTTAGGGAAGACATCCGGATACTTACAAACCACCCTCACATCATCGACGTTCGTTTCCTCTTTGGCTTTGTCAACCACGTATGCTAGATATGCGTGGCATCCCTTCCTCATCATATTTCTCGCTCTCACGGCGGATATGATACAACTATTTGATTTGCCGCGGTCCCCCTCGAAGCGTAGGGTGTCCCCCTGTGTGCCTTCGAGTTCCAACACCTTTGTGTAGCAATCTACCCTAGCATGATGCTTTTCTAGCCAATCCATCCCTAGGATTGCATCGAACTCCATCATACTCAGCGGTACGAAATCACACGTCAAGGTTTGGCCACCGATTTCCACCATACAAGATGGATAGTAATTGTTTCTTTCAACGTCTTCCCCTAGTGGGGTTGATACCACTAAGGTTTGTGTCATTGGTATTGATTGCATCTCTAAGCTCTCGGCAAACGCCTCACTCACGAATGAACGTTGCGCTCCGGTATCGATAAGGATTCGTGCATCCTTCCCGTTAATCTTTAGTGTCCCTACATTCATGAACCATGTAAGACATCTTTCCTACCCTCCCTACTCATTTATAGAAGGTCGCAATGTTCACACGCACGTTAGGGATCAAGAAGAGGCCTTAACGTCGCAAAACGATGCGAAAAAATCGGGTTTCGGCAATCTGGGTGCCAGGCACGGCGTGCCCGGGGTAGGCACGATCGTGCCTGGCTCAGGAAAACGCCCTGGGGCTACTGCCTTGGAGGCACGATCGTGTCTGCCTTAGGCACGATCGTGCCTGGGTTGGAAAAATCCTGGGAACCACTGACTTGGAGGCACGATCGTGTCTGCCTTAGGCACGATCGTGCCTGGTTTGGAGAAAAGCCCTGGGCAGCTACTGCCTTGTAGGCACGATCGTGTCTGCCTTAGGCACGATCGTGCCTGGGCTGGGAATATTCCTGGGCAGCTACTGACTTGGAGGCACGATCGTGTCTGCCTTAGGCACGATCGTGCCTGGGTCCCAGCCGCCTGAAGTTGCCCGAAATCCCCCGGTTCGACCCCAAAACCTCGTGCAATGATCCTAGCGATTAGTATCCTCAATTTATGGACTAATTAAGGATAAAACACTAGTATATGAGAGGCAATACCTGCGACGGAGTCCGGGTTAGCTTGAGCATCTGCCTCCGTCATCGCATAGACCCTAGCCTGGGTCCTCCCTTGGTTCACGGATGGCGCGTTGCTCGCACTTGCTCCCCCTTGCCCCCTGCTTGCTTGAGAAGCCCCGGTCTGATTCCGTGTACCCGTCGGGCCACTACTTGGTCCCGATGTCCTTGCCCCGCCCAGTTGTGGGCAATGTGCCTTCAAATGCCCGGCATCCCCACATTGGAAACATCTAGGGGGGTCGCGACATTTACCGGAATGGTTCCTCTTGCAATTGTTGCAACGAGTTACCACTGAGGTCTGTGACCTCAAGCCTTGCCCACTTGGGCCTTGGTTCCCCCTTGATGGTGGCGGTGGTGCCCGGAAAGATCCTCCTCCGTGGTTCCCCCTTTTGTTGGAACCTTGGGAGCCATGACTCTCCCATTTTCTCTTCTTCGCCTCTTCGGCGTCTCTCTTCTTCCGTTCCTCCCACTGTTTCTCCCCTTTCAATGCTTGTTCAACCACTTGGGCGAAAGTCATATTAGGCAATTGCGTTGCCCTATCACGTATCTCCAAGTCAAGAGCGTCCCAAAAGTGGTTCACCATGCGGTTCTCGTCACAAGCATACTCCGGTATGTAGTCGGCGAGATCCCGGAACTTGTACTCCAGCTCCTTCACTGACATGTTACCCCCTTGGGTTAGGAGGGTGTATTCCCTCACCTTCTTATTCACCTCGAAATCAGAATAGTATTGGGCAAAGAACTCCCGTTGGAAGTCCTCCCAAACAACGGTCTCACCGTACTTGTTCTTGGTTCCATCCCACCACTTGGATGCCATCCCCTCGAGCAATCTTACCGCAATTCTCAGTTTGAGATTCGGCGCGATTTGCATGTCAAGGGCTGCTTCATTTAGCCTCTTGATCCATTGTGCTGCGACTGAAATGTCCCCTGCTCCATCAAAGGGTTTGCACCCCAAATCTCTTGCTTCTTTGATAAATTTGGAGATCCTTATGGTTGGACCTCCATCACTTTGGCCTCCATGTGGTTCCACATGGACTCTAGATGCACCATGACTCCCTCCTCTTGAAGCCATGCCCGAAGGTTGCCCCACTCGGCGTCTTCGGCGTTGCCTCCTCTCTTCACGCTCCCGGTGGTATTGTTGGAGTAGTGCTTCGATCCGTGCTAAGGAGCCATTTCCCTCCTCATCACTTACATCGTCATCATCCCCTTCATAAGGGGTCTCAACCGGCTCTGTCTCCGGTTGGTAAGTCGAGTCCTCATAGGACCAGTAGGTCTCACTTTCTGTGTCAACATGACCGTCACTCACGGTCTGTGATCGGCCTCCACGGCCAGCTCCTCTAGATGCCCTAGAGGTCCTTCGACTGCCCTGTCCAGTCTCCACTGGTACACGGCCCGTCGGGTTCCTCCTAGTAATCCTGCCACCACGGTCCATTTCTGAAAGAAATTTGGAAAGAGTCGTTAGACTCGTATCAAATGTCAATTGACGGATAGGTACTTAAGACACATTTTGGCTCGAGTCACCGCCATACCAATTGCTAAGGGTACCATCTTAACAATTAGAGACCTTGCGACCCAAGTACCAAAAGCTCTCCAAGTACAAAACTTCTATGCTCATGGTTTTCAAAATCTTTTCAAAAAGAGAATTTTGAGACTTCATTATGAAGTTTATGGACTAAGGCTCTGATACCAACTTAATTGTCACGCCCCGGACCTCCCCGGACACGTCAACAACCCGCCGTACAATACGAATAGTCGACCGCAGTCCAACACATTCATATTATACAAGGCGTCATGAATATCATTCACACATAAGTCATCCATAAACAACATAATAAGTAATTCATAAAGCAGCGGAAAACATTGTTTAAAACAAAAGGGCCACACAGGGCTATTCATGAGCACGCAGGCTCTATAATAAAATATCCATGAGCATGTTTATTAATGTTTAAAATCCGAATGGAGGAAGCACGAACCAAGTCTTCGCTCCTAGATGATCTCTCGAGCAACGAGCACAGGAAGCAAGCTCTAGCCTCAACCTGAAAAATGGTGGTGGGACGCCCCCGAAGGGGTCAGCACTCTATAGGGCTATAAAGTGCTGGTGTGGCAGGCATCTAATAGATATACAACAAGTATTTCAAACACAAGACCCTCAAATAGGGTGATAGTATATTATGATTGTAACCCTAAGTTACCCCGTTTAAAAATATACTTACTTTATATAAAAGTCAAGTAGCCGGCCCGTGGGCCCATGTTCATTTGGAAATCACCATTCCCAACCCCGTGACTAAAAGCCACGACAACTCCTAGAGTCCAACCCTAGTACATGACATTGTATTCTAGAGCTCGGCTCTACTACATCACCATACAATTCATATACCTCGGGTCAATTTCCTTACCTTGCGTTCTAGAGCTCGGCTCTATTACATCACCACGCAAGTCCTAGAGCTCGGCTCTAGCTATACAATACATAGACTCCAAGTCTACACCTTACATGCATTCTAGAGCTCGGCTCTATTACATCACCATGCATTAAGGTCCAATTCTCAAGCAACCCTATGCCTAGAATTGACATATCATTAAACTACTTTGGGTCATCCTTAAAGACTTCCCATAACTTAACCTTAGTTCCAAACTAAGTTATTATATACACTTGAACTATATTCAAGTACCTTTCATACAATCCAATCCCTAGGATCAATTTAATCAACAAGTTCCAATAATCACTAACTAGTATTTCAATACTATTAAGATTATTGTTATCATACCATTATCCTCATTATTTGTAATTCTCTACATATTTATAATTATGTAGCAGCAACTTAAGTATTCAATCTCAATACACAAATATTCATTTATGTATCCACATAATTCATACATGAGCAAAATGCCCATTTTCACAAAATAGTTCATTTATACTCATTTAATCTCATATTATTCATACCTTCTCAAATCATTTCAAATTTCATTCCTTGGCAACTATATCAATATTTCATCAATATATAATCATCATAATCCATGAAAAATCATGATTTAAGCATTTAGGTAATCTCATGCTTAACCTACAAGTTGTAAGCAATTAGATGTCAATCCTCACCTCAATTGAGCTTTAAACTTTCCCTTCTTGGTCCAATGGTCAAAGCTTTGGTCAAGGTGGATTTGGAACTGATTCCTTGCTCAAATATGAGTGTTAAACAGCCTCCTCAAAGTGCTAGTTCAACCCTTAATCGTTGATACGAAAACAGCCCCTAGAACGGGTGTTTTCCGGCTAACTCGATTCCTAGTTTTCCAATATTTGCATCTAGGTTAGTATCTAACCTTTACATCAATAAAATAACTTTATAAGGACATATTATACACTTGGATTAGTGTATAATAGTCTCACCAATCGTTCATATCATTTGGAGAATGAAAAGTAAAGCTTTGGGGTTTAAAACTCACTTTAGAGGATTAAATCCTCTCCTGCGAGGTTGCGTTTTTCTCGGACGATTTGGAAGCCTTCCACAACTCCGATTCCTGCAAACCAGACCTTCACGGATTCCTCGTCTTGAGAGCTTTCTGTGGGTATCTCACACGCCTTAATTGGATTTGTAAAACTCGAGATATCGACCAAACAGTCTCAGCACTCTCACAGCTCGAGTTCACAGACCTCTGCTCGTTCCAGCTCGATTTTTGTAAGATAAGCCTTCTCTCCTCGAACAAAGACCACTCAATTGAGATAATAGACTTCCAAGGCTATCCAAGGACATATTATTCACGTTGTTTGGTCGAGTATAGCTTCTATAATGAGAGGAGACAAACAGCACACCAATTTGTGCGAAAATAAGGATGGTGGCCCAAGTTTACATTCCTATCAAGTCATGTGCAGCTCCCCTCCATTATGGACGGCCAAGGTAGGTCTTCTAACCCATTTTTATTTGTTTTGCAGGTACTAATATCATGTGGAGTGGTTCCCAATTGATCCCATTAAATTTGGGGTCCAAAATATCTACCAATACTTCCAAAAATGGGAAGATGGGTCCTATTGTTTTATCTTTGTCAAAGATGTCTTCTTGTACTCATCCTAATTTATTTAGAACAAGTCAACTTCCTAAATCACATTATTGATCTCCAATATGTGTAGGCTCATCCCAATAATTTACTTGATGGATATTTTAGAAGGAAAATCCTACTCCCATTATTTAGCTCAATAATGCCAAAGATGGGGTTATAGACATTTGTATTCTCCTTTAATCATTCTTTCACTATTTTGGTAATGTTGGGCTTTTTTATTTATTAATAAGTCCCGAGTAAGTATTTGCGAAACCCGACACGAATGTACGAGTTTGAACAGTACGATATTCAACCATGCACTACGTAGAACATTGATCGTTTTACGAAATGTTTGGGAATCGGAAATCCAATACATAAGCTATGAATATTCAAATCAAATTTCCAAGGACATTCGGGTGCGGTGTCACATAATTACCCTAGATATGACTAAAACTTCATGACTTTCTCAATCTATGACCTAATGAGTTTTTTTCTCAAAATATAATTAAAATTCGTCATATTTAATTAATATATTAATAAATAATTAAATAAATACTTTTTATGGACTAATATGCCCTTAGGTTATTATTATAAAACCCTAGCATCCTATTCCTTTTCTCCCATGTCCACTCATCGCATCCCTACGTACCGATGCCCAGCCTACAGTACAGCCGCACTCCGTCCAGTCTCACATGGCCCCGCCGTCCAGCCGCCTGCCTTCGCCAGACACCTTCGTCCAACCTCTTTCTCACCTCCATCCATGGCAGTCTTGACGGAGTTGGATCAATTTCTCATGGGCAAAGTTCCTTGATTCTAGTCCGTTGTCTAACCATTGACCCACTGTTTAACACCTCCCTGGATTGGAATGATTTAACAGCCGCAACAGATAAATCAGATTCGAATTTGAACAGGGAGAAGAAGGGCGGATTGCGTTCAAGGAGTGACAGCACTCCGACAGATCTGTTTAGATCTGAGTGGCTTCGCTCAAATTTATTACTCCGTACTTTTCTTTGTGTTTTTTGGTTTGTTTAATTCTTTCTTTTTGTGAGTGGAAAAATACACTCCCTATAATTTGTCCGCCTCATTCTTTTGCTTTTTTGTTTTTTGAGATTAAGCTTGATTGAAATTAGGGTTTGTGGGCATTAAATATGAGCATTGAATATCGGAAGTAAATATTTCAACAAGTGTTGAGTATGGGCAGTGAATATATATGTTAATAGACATGTTGTACATGACAGTAAATGAATGCATTAAGAATTACGTTATGCAGTGATTATGACCAGTATTGCAGTAACACAAAGTAGTAATATTATCATGAAATGCAATTTATTTAATTCAACATAAAATAATAAAATTATTAAATATAAAAATACAAAAAATACAAACAAAAATAAATTCCTCAAGTAAATGAGGAGAATTAATTTTGGCGGAAATGCAACGATTATTACCGGATGTGCAGTAAAGCCGTGCATTAATGTCGTGCATTAACGGTAATATAAAGTGCAGTAATTTTAAATTGACGAAATTAGTGCAAAATACACATATTTTAAAAAGGGGTATTTTCGTCATTCAACCTTTAAATACAAACGAAATTTCTTTTTTTTTTTTGGATTTTCGGTCATAGATAAGTCTAAAAACTAGTTAGGTCATAGATTGAGAAACTCATTGAGTTTTAGTTATGTTCTAGTAAATTTCCCTATGTTTTGGATAATCTGAACTAAAGTCAACTTCACGTGAATTTAATTTGCTAGAAAGAATCTCTAGAGGATTAGATTAACGTCCATATTCCACCTCCACGATCCTTTCAAACTAACTTGACATGAAATTAAATAACGTAACTCATGACTCATCAATTGAATTTTTTTATGTCTACGTTAAATCAAAAAACATAAGAAATCAATCAAATAGTCCATTTCATGTTCTCTAGTGATAGCGCAGGGGTTGACTGTTGACACAATGACACCAAAGTTTAATTTGGTCTTTTTGGATAGGGATTAAAAAACGCATAAACCCCTTATCAAGGTCTCTTAATTTGATCTGTTTTTGGTCATCTACATACTTAATACGATAGTAATAAAGTACAACCTTCTAATTGAAATTGAATTTTCAATTAATTGCTATTGAGTTCAATTAGTGAATAGTTATTAATTGCAATTAAGTCCTAAATTCATAGTATTTACTCAATTGATTATTATTGAGTCCAAATAGTGAGTATTCATTAAATTAATTGTAATTAAGTCCTAAATCCATAGTATATTTAGATATATTACGAAGGAGTGAACACCGGAATTTCGGAGGAGAAGATCCGTCGTCTGGCCGCTGCGATTTGAGGATGTTCTCGATGTTTTTTTTATAAATCTTTTTTAGCATGTTTTTCTTGAGGTTTAGATTTTGTCCACAAAATGTCACCCTAAAATTTGATTGAGAAGTCAGATAAACAAATTATTGAAAATAATGCATTTTATATATAAATATTTTGGCATAGTGCTTTTCAATAGTTTTTTATTGACTTCCCGGTCAAAGTTTGGGCTGGAAGTCTGTGGACATAATCTAAACTTCATATAGAATATGCTTACAAAATTTCATCAAGAAAAAACTATTGGAATTTGTCTCAAATCATGGTGGCCGACCGGCAGTTCTGGTCAGAATGTCCTGACGAGAATATTACTCTATTATGGAGTATCAAATTCCAAATAAATTACAAACTATATTATCGTTCCACTTAGAGAGCATGTGTATATTTGGAATGTTTTATAATATTGGATTTCAATCCATATTTTATAATGCTTTATCAAATTGGTTCAAGAAAACAATGCATAATTTGTAAAACTTTCATTCATTATTTAGAAATACTTTATATAATTTGTTCCAATAAAATACGTATAGTATATTTGAAATGCTCTGTGTAGTTCATATTCCTTTCACTTTATATACTAACACTATATGTGAAGTTCATGCGATGCATGGATGACCAATAATATGTGAGAATCATTTATTTGATTGTAATATACTCCGTATAATTTTCTTGACAAAGTAACTTAAGTAAATTTATTTCATATTTGTACAGTTTTATTCATATGCACAATATAATTTTTCTATTCTACAATACTAAGTTGCTTTTAATAATAATAATTGTTTTTTGCTTAAAAACGGAAAAAATATATAAAGAGTAAATGGAATTTTCAACAAACAAAGTGAGTTTTATATTTATTTAGTACTTAGTAATAAGAGTATAATGATTAGTTTTCCTTATAATTAAGATGCCTAATTAAAACAATAGTTTCTGTTGAAAAAAATGCGATGAAAATGCATGTGTATTTTAAACATAAGATATAACAATGAAAACGTAACTAATTGATGTAATTTTCTCATCTATTTTAAAATTTTACATTTTTTATTTACTAATAAATTAAAACTACCTTTCAAATCAAACTTAAAATAGGAGAAGAATTTAAAAACACAAATTGAGATTTTTATTCTCCTAAATAAATGTAAATCATATTTATCTATATTTTTATATTCTCTATAAAATTATTGGATTAGTATTTTCTATTACATCTTAAAAAATTAATTGGCTGTATTGGAAGTATATAATAATGACATTGCCAACTTTATGCTCCCGAAAAGTTTCTCTTTTATATATTTTATATGTTCTATTTTAGTTAACACTTTCGTTTTCACGTTTTTCAACATGCTACTTTGATTATTAATATATATAATTTGTTGTAAGTAAAAACCTGAGATTTTGTGAAATTTAAATTGGATGGGACGAATTGACAATATTTTTAAAGAATGTGTAATATATTAATAAATAAAATATGACCAAAGTAGGACATGTGATTTGTGTAAAAGGTAACATGTTCAGTGTGTGTATATATATATTGATTTTGTTTCATTTTATTCCAATAAATGGAATCACAAGAGCACATTGAGGTCTAAAATTTTGTAAAAAATACACAGTGCAAGTAACTATTAATATATATAGGGACTCATATATATATATATATATATATATATATATATATATATATATATATATATATATATATATTCAGGTCCGGTCAGGCCGGACCACTCCCCCCGTCCGGCCTCCTCCATTTGGGGGTCTTCCCGGTGGTATTTTTTGCTCAAATTGTTTGTGTAGGTTCCTCATCAAGTCTAGTTCATCCATACCAAATTTCAGCCAAAATTTCAATCGGGAAGGTCTTCAAATGATTTTTGCAAGTTAACTGGTCCGGAAAATACATATTCCGGACCAGTTAACTTGCAAAAATCATTTGACGACCTTCCCGATTGAATTTTTGGCTGAAATTTGGTATGGATGAACTAGACTTGATGAGGAACCTACACAAAACATTTGAGCAAAAAATACCACCGGGAAGGCCCCCAAATGGAGGAGGCCGGACGGGGCTCCGGTCAGGTATACCTGAATATATATATATATATCCATCCACGTCTTCTACTATTACAGCTAATTTCAACTCATCATTTGATTTCTTGTTCTCATTAATGTTGTCACACTACCCACAATATTCATCAAGGAAGTGTGAAGGCAAAATTATTGTATGTCGTGTCTTTGATTATATGGGAAGAAGTTTTGCTGATACATGAGGCATGTTCTAAGCTTTTAGACGTTACATCAAGAAACATCATGAGTAACTGCCTGCTATGTTGATCGATGGCCTAGAAGTTACATATCTTAGTTAGAATGTCGAATATCTTAATAGTGCATCAATGGTTGGATTCCGAAGCATGTCCTTCGTTTGAAGATTGGAGCTCCCGATTATGTTATTAAGGAATATGAATATAATCATGCATAAGTTTTATTCAATAGAATGTGAT